TCATCGTTCCATGTCATTATAACTACACAATGCATTGCTAGATCTAAAATAAGAAAGTTTCTGATGTTTCCTGTTTTTACCATCACATTCATTTTAATGAGCTAATCATCAACGAACCAATGTTCTCTCGGTTTGTTTTCAGTTGCAGCTACCAGAAGCTTTAGTTAAAGCCATCACCAGCTCGCAAACTAGCTTTCACTTGATCTTGTCATCTTGCTGTCTGGTTTTATCTGTAACAGAGTGCAGTAGGTGGATATTAGATATCTCAGTAACCTAAAGCTTTACATTTGCTTGTCGTAAAAAGTCTAGATTTCAACTGAGTCATTTTTACCTGATAAAACCTGTAAGTATTTTGCTTTGTAAAGCAAATAGCAACAACTTCAATCACTATTTTCCAATTGGATTAATGCATGACAAGCACAGTCCTGGGTCATAGTCATGAAAGTCTTAAACCTATTTTCGATAGGCCTCTATATCCTCTCCCTTTGTAACATTGTAATGATTTGTCATGCTATTAAAGCATGGAGGTTTACTGTACACTAAGTCGTCCTGGGTAAAAGGTAACTAATCCCTTACTCTGACCTACTAATTTAGCTTCTGTACGGCCTTAAGCGCTACAGTTCTCAAGTATACACTAAGGATATACACTAAGAGGAGTAATACTAATCAGTAATCAGTGGGCTTATAGTCTATTTTTTTATGTAGTACTTCTCAATTCAGTTAAGTTCACCAGCACTATATGACTTCAAAACAGTTTAAACAAGTCTGCAGAATTATATACTGGAGACCATTAAAGACAATAGAGCTATAAAAAGATACATGATGAACTGACTAAAAAAACAAGACAGTTCTGACAGTCATATAGCATCTGCACCAAGGGCAACAGAGACAGAAGAACAATTGCCAAAGAAAACTACTTTCTGCAAAATTGCTGTGTGATTACCATAATTGACGGCTCTGTGATAGAAAAAAAGGCCAGTCATTTGGAACTTTGCAAAGCTGGTGTTTATGGATAGGCGGGTGTTTAGAAATTCCTCGTTCCATGAAACGGGGCATAAAAATGCAGATGATGATGTGAGGTGCACAAAACCTGAGCCCCAGAGCGGTGGGAAAAACAATCAAGCGTGGTCTAACGACTTAGCCTGCCTTCCCTTCAACCCACAATGATCCCACTGAATGGCAGTGAATCATTTTATGATTGTTCTCCTTCTTTGAGCCTTTATATATTCTAAGATATGAATCTCTGAATTATTTCTGTAATCCCACCAATCAGAGCTCAACTTCGCCTACTCTGTAATGACAGCCTGTTGAGCCAAAGTTTGACCCTGACCTCTAGACTGCCACCACCATTCATATGATGTTACTTGTCATTTACTCAAACACCTATAATTACACTTCGCAAGCAATATTTTGTAGTCACGACAGTTTCTGACTACATGTTGCTATACTTGTCTAGATATAGGCAGTAAAACAATTCCTTCCTTTTTGTTGGTGCCAGGTCTCACATAAGCCCATATGGTGCAAATAAATCTCACACCAAATAAGGGGAGGCATCAAATTGGAAAAATCGACTAGGCTAAATATCAGCCTTGTTCCACATTTCAGCAATGTAAATCAGAGCACTCAAAGTAAAGTAAAGCATGCAGATCTCAGGATCCATGGGTGTGCTGCCAAACTGCATTTACACATTGGCGACTTAATTCATTATTCAATCAATTATGTTAGACATGGAAATAGGATCAGCCAGGTCATAATGGCAAATCAAAGTCTTTTTTTATTGTTGCAACAAATACAAAGAGAGATGATTTACACGAGCAGTGATAATCTTATTAACCAATAATTTCCGGTATAGTTTTCATCAAGGACCTTTTTTCAGACCAAAACAAGGCAATAACTAACTAAAAACTAATGCACGAGAAAAAAAACCTATGATGAAAAGTACTGACCCTTTCATCAGCAAATAAACGAGATGAAAATATTCTGGAGAGATGAGATTCAAGTTGATGCTCAAGTTGGTCTGCCTCATATTAGAGGCCAGTTGTACTGCTCTATCAACAAGGAGCTGGTGCTTTTTGCCCTCTGTTTGTATTTCTAATGCCTTTCTGACTTGTGCTTATGTGTTGGCTCATGTGCCTACTCAGCTTGGTGGCTACAATGCCAGAGAGGAACGTTCATGTTTAGAAAAAGTAGGTAATTGGGTGGTCGTTTGATGGTGAAGGTCGTTCATGACTAGGATTGTTCTTTCCTGTCTACCTGTGCAACCTCTGTAGGGTCCAGGTATCATCTCATGCTACCAATAGAGAAAGCGACCCTAGTCAAATCAAAAACTAGTGAACAGTCAGAAAGAAGGAGGAGGGAAAAAATGCCAGTAGCCTTGAGCTGTAAAATCATTCCTGTTTGGGGGTTGTGTCATTGTTGCCGCTTTGGTGCACCAGTGGTTCATTTCATTAACACCAAAGCAATTTAAACTGATTAACACCCCCCCTCTCCCTCTTAACTGACCAGATCTTTATCCCCATAAGTTTAACTGACTTGATGCTATACTCTGACAGGATAGAGTTAACCTCAGTGCATGTCTACAATCATCTGTAAAACATGGTGGAGTCTCTTTCATGGTTTGGAGCTGTATTTCAGGCAGTGGTGTTGGGGATGTTTCCAAAATTGATGCAATTGCGAACAGAACAATTCCATCAGATTTTGATCCACCATGCTATACCACCTGGAAAGCTTCTGTTTGGCAGCAGCTTCAGTTTTCAGCATGACAATGATCGCAAACACACTGTCAATGCAGTAACAGCATAATTGGATAGATGAACACACAATACAACACTATCAGGATGGATTGGCCTCCCCAGAAATCGTCATGACAGAGAACAGAAGAAAAGGCAGCAGAGAAGCCTGGAGAACTATTTCTGAAGACTACCTGAAGAAATTACAAGAAATCTTGTCTAAGGAACTTTAGGCTATATTGAAGAATAAAGGTGGTGATGTCAGCTGTGGACTTTCAAACTTGTTTAGACCTTATAAGCTGTATACTGTACATTTCAAGAAATTGCTGCACCTATTTCCCATTTCCTTAGCTAAATATGCAGAACAACGGGTTGCTCAAGGCTCTTGCATAGTATTGCTTATATACCTTATATGTACTGCAGGTGATAGCTGAAACAGTCAACGACAGCACAAATGGGCTAGCTGACAGTGAGAACCAATAGGTTAAACATCTAGCTAGCTAACTCCATAACAATTCAAGTATCTTTTTAAAACAACCATAAAGGAGCTCTTTATGAGACAGAAAGCCTACATGTATGATAACTCACCACGCCTGAGCTGCTAATATCTGCCTAGCCTGTGCATCCAGTTACAGAGAATTTTCAACTAGTTTTCACCAGAAATAAACTTAAGTAACATAATTGATGGAATTAACATGCTCCTCAACCTTTAAATGCTCAGTTACTACAGTATGCGGCAAGTATTGCTTTTATTTGACGTGTATGCCCTACTGAATATTGATTTGTCAGTAACTTGTAAGGGAAAACACACTTTGCCTTTTGAAATTGTCTGCTTTTACTTTCTTTAATAATTCAGACAGCTGCACTTAGAGTGTGTGGAACTGCAGTAATTTATGACTCCGACTGAGCTGTAGCTGCTTTTGCTTCACCCATAAGGAAAGAGCAGCAAAGCGTTAAGCGTAAAGTGTTTAGAAGTTGGCAGAGGTGCACTGTGTTTCCTGCCAAAGTGTTTAGCTTTTCCTCTGCCTAATGAAATTCACCAGTAATCCCTTATCGCAATCTAACTACCCTCCAATTAAAGGTCTCGGCCTTTGGCCTGACCATGCCCAATTTTAAACACTACATACAGTCTGGAGCACTACCCATCTGCCAAGTGAACACCTAGAATGGAAATACTCAGGTCAAGATGTGATCTGCCGGCCTACTGTTACGCAAGAACAACCCAGGCTTTCAGTTGTGTTTGTGATAGTCAGCATAATAAGTTGTTTTAATGGAATTTCAGCTCTTCTTGTGTTGTATTAATAGATTTAATGTGCATAATTGTCTTTTTCATGCCTCCAGAAATCTCTTGATGAGGGAACAACACTTGGCTGCACCAATTTCACCGTGCACGCCTCTTTAAAAGTTGTTTATCACTGCCAAAGAACTAATCACTGTTTTCTGTCCCCAGTATGAAATATGCAGCCTTTGGAAAGCATCAAAAGTAAAGAATAAATGCAAAATGAAGGTGTCTAGTGTAATTGGGCCCTCCTCCCTCATTATTTTTCCTCTCTGCAGATAATTCCTCTCCCTGTCTCCCACCTTAAACTTTCTGCTTCTCAAAGGCTTTCCATAGTATTCGCCAATCTTTTCCAAATCTTGACATGACCATGATTAAGTTTTTGTTTTCTCTCTTTTCCTTTCACCATTTTCTCCTCCTCAAAGTTGTTGTTAGTTTTTTTTGTTTTGTGGGGTTTTTTTTTTTTTTTGGGGGGGGGGGGGGGGGTGTTAAAAGAGGGCCATGATAGATCAATGTTCAGCTATGCTGCAGTATTCAACATGAATCAGTGTAATAGCCAGAGATGTTACACGGTTTTCTCTCTGTTTTCATCACAAGTGTGATGCAACACATTTTGGTTAATCTGACTCCGTCTGGGTCCGGCTGCTGACAGGGAAGCTCACCCCTGACCCAGAAGTGTGGTTTAAACAAAAATAGACTAAAAAATCCCCCCCTCCAGCACACACGCACACACACACATTTTACAGACATACTAGACAAATTCTGCTCTTGGCCTCAAGCCTGCAGTCTAATCAAAAAGTGCTAGAGAGGCTCTGCATCAGCTCCACACACGGGGAGCTACACATAATGAGTGATGACAGGGTTGTAACTCACTCTAATATGTTAATAATCTACTCTGCTGTAAACAAACAGGGTTTCACTTCCACTTTGAATGTCATCATATTACGAGCAAAACACTTAAATCAGAATAATCTTTCCTGTCTGTCTCTCAGATGCCTATCCTGTGTCAGAAGTCGTCTACACTTGGACTGAGGGAGCTAAAGAATCTGTGGTGGTGGCAGAGGATGGCTCCAGACTCAATCAGTATCATCTTGTTGGACAAAGTGCTAACACAGAGGATATACACACAAGCAGGGGTATGTGCTATTTTAATAACTCTGTAGTAATAATATTAACAGCAGTGTGCTTCTATTGCTAGTAGCAAAGTATTAAGAATGGATGGATTAGTGAAATAAGTTGTGGCAGAGATAAAAGTAATATACTTAATCCCAAATGATGGAATATTTTGTGATATTAGGGGAAAAAATAGAGATTAGGTAACACAGCAATATAAGAACTGGAGCCCCAGTAGACAGTTACTGTATAGGATACATAGTACAATAAAAACAAAAATAGGATGACTTAACTATTACCGTTGAACACAAATACAAGCTGTCAACGGGACAAACACTACACCACTCATTAATAAGGATAGAAATATTCAATAATTTTCTAATTATTAACACACACAACAAATCCAATACTGCTTACTTGATCATGCTACAAATTACAGGAGTTTTGTAAAGCTTAGTTTAACCAATAGTTTAGTTTAACTTAGTTTAGCCCATTTGTGTAGGCATGTAAGGATACTTACATATGTTGCTGGTGTTAATGCAGTTTAGCTACGCAACAAGCTAGCAGTTACTGTTTCTAACTCGAGTACTGGTTATTAGTGGAAGATTGTATTCATACAAACATAGTATTACAACATTGTCTACATGTCCACATTTAATATGGGAACTTTATTTCTTCATCATAACTGTGGTGATACAATGGCAAGCTAATGTTAGCTTCATCGCTTCAGCTAGCATCACAACAAAACTGTAAATATTCAGTGGCATCAAAACTGTACCTATGAACTAGGTTGTTTTGAACAACCTATAAAATTTATCTTTTGGCAGGAAAATGGAAAAATAAGTAGAGTGATTTACTGAAATATTAGCAAACATAAATGAAAATACAGAATAAGGCAAAAACAGAGTATGCATAAAACAACAAGTTGAAAATGTCAAATATTTGGTATGAGCGCCTTTATTCTTCAACATAGCCTGAACTATTTTAAGCTAGCTTTCTTTATGTAGTCTTCAGGAATAGGTCTCTTGAAGAACATTCAAAGCTTATCTTTGGATGTTGGCTGTTTTTGGTTTGTTCTCTGTCATGACGCCACTCTGCTTAATGTTAAGATAGGGGCTCTGGGGAGGCCAATCCATCACCGATCATGTTCCATTGTGTGTTTATTAAAGCTGTTGCCAATCAGATGTTTTTTAAATGTATTGTTTGGTCGATGAAAATCTGACAATACTTTGCTGCGCTCATCATTCTATCATTGAGAAGATCCCCAATATCACTTGCTTGCTTTGGAGCAAGTGGCTGCTTTTTGTTCAGGCTTTTTTGTCCGGTGTGTTTTATCGATGACTGTAGGCACTTACACTTACACTATTATGTTGATTACACATAATAATGACAAGTTCAACTGAAACCTTTAAATTTGCTTGGATTCATCACAACATAAGACACGTTGAAATAATTTTGGGTCCAGTTTTTGTAAAGTTTGGCCCTTCTTTTCCTCAAAAATGGCTTGAGGCTATCCTTGACACTGGCAAACAGCAAATGGGCCAATTTCCATGTTGATTCTGTGAGGACATTAAGATGGTATTCATGTCCTGTTCATCTTCTTTTGTCCTACACTTGTCTAGTTTCCTTAAAACACAGTGTACGAGTGTACGAGTGTACGTGATGTAACATTTGGCATTTTCAAACACTTTGTGTTTGAAAAGCATCTTTTTACAAAGAGCCCAAACATACCATTTAAAATGAGTTCATTGATGACCCATCTGTTTCTATTTGTGTTAGTTGTTTTTTATTTATCGGGATTCACTCTTCGTCCATAAACCTCAACTACTGTACAAAAACAATTAAAACCATATGATGTTATAAACTACTTGTACCATCTGTTATTTAAGTAATAATTCTGAGTTAGCTCTTTTTTACAGGTGTAGAGACCTTTGTCAGCATATTTGTTTACCATCAGAGCAGATTTAATGAAACAGATGCAACTGAAATGCCGACGTTTAGCTTTAATTTAAGGATTCGGACAAAAATATTGCATCAGCTGTATTTATATACAAACTGCCCTATTTTCTGGAGCTAAAATATTATTGGGGAGTTGACTCTGGCTTATTTCTGTATTTTTTCACAAGTTAAGCAGGTTAAAGGTCCAGAGATGATTCCAAGTGTGGCATTTGCATTTGGAAGTTGTTTCTGTGAACTGAAGCAAAGGTTGAAGGACCTCTTAAGGCAAAGAGAATATTCTATCCTTAGACTGGAAAACAAACATATCTGAAAGGGAGCAGAAACTTGTCAAATCAGCAGTTCGGCTCTTGCTGAGAAAAAAAGAAAGCATTGGAGAGCTCGTCAACAGAAACAGGTCCTTAAATCCATAAAAGACAAAAGTGGTGGATGTTGGCAAGATCATTTCCACGGGAAAGACAAAAAAAACCCCACAGGATGCACCAAGTGTGGAAGTCACTGCATTGATTGCAAGATGCAAAACATTTATGTTTAGCTAGCCACGCTAGCTTGCTGGACAGATGAAAATACAGCAGAGCTGGGAAGAAACAAAAGGAAAAAAGATCTAAAATGACTCATAATCTGAATAAAGTAGAGACAATTTGATGCAGGGGTACACATAGCTTCCTATGACACTAGGTCACAGGTGTTTGTTGGTGATTTGACAAAACAAAAGTGTACTGAGCAGTGTGTGTACACACTGAGCGACTTGCAGTCAAGTTAACTGGATGTCATCTCAGCGAACAGATGAACAATGAGCCAGACCATGCTGACAAAAGTAACCCAGGAGATTTTGAAAAATATAAAAAAAGGTGGACTATTGTGCAGGCAGCAACTAAACACTGCTACAGTAAAAGCCTCGGCGGGAAACCTTTTCTCTGCTGATTGGCAACGGATTCCAGACTTCAGGAAGTCATCATCAAAGGATCACTGACAAAGTTTAAAAAAGATTTTATTACGATTATATTAAATTATTGCACTACATTTAATTCTCTAAAAAAGGGACGGTACATAAGAATGTAATTAGTTCATTAGTCAAATCTATATTTTTTCTTAACCCCTTAACATCTGGATTTAAGAGGTTAAATTCAACTTTGGGTTAATTTAACATTGATTGTTCAACTTCAAATATGTTGTGTTGTGTACAAACATTATGAAAACTGCCACTGTTCAAAACTTTTTTTAAGTTATAAAATTTTTAAAAAATTGTTAATTATTTATTATTTTCATTAAATAAAGAAACCTCAATCAGAACATAGTGCAAGCATTGCATTGTGTATTTTTCATTAGCACTGAGGTGAATTATGTTGCACGGTACGAATTAGTTAAGGTGATGTAACTAATTCTAGATTAGGGAAGATAAACACTGTAGGGAGAAATGGATGTGCTGCGAGGTGGAGAGGAAATGTGGGAAACATTATCAGTAGTTAAGAGTCAATGAGTGGAGGCTAGTGCAGAGTAGCCTATCCCTCTCACAACCAGCTGTCTACAGGCTCGGACAGCCCTGTCAAACAACACTTATCCCTGCACACACGCACACACATAGAAGCATGCGCGCACATGCACACATACACAAATCGAGAGAGACCTGAGTCCTAGGGTTAATCCCCCATCCAACCACCCATCAGCTTTTGCATAAGAAGATGACATCACAGCTCAGTGAGGGATTGGCTGGGTGTGTCTGTGTGTTTGCTGGTGTGTGCATTTGTATATTTATCTTTGTATCAAATGTCGTCACTGTGACAGTCACACAGCAGGGTCATTGTGACAATAAGCTGGAGGACCAGAAGTTACTTCTTTATTGTGGGGGTTAGGACTTTAAAGTTTTTAGGCTTTAAGGTGAAGCGTTAAACCGGGTTGCTTTTACAGGAGACATTTTACTTTAAGGTGATTATACAGGAAACGATTTAAGTGAAAAAATAATCATGATAATAACAATTTAGGTCTTTGCCAAGCTAGAGTAAAAAAAAAAGTGTGTGTGTTTGTGTGTGGCCTGGGATTGGACGGCCTCACTTTGACACGTGGGGCTGGTAGGGTGTGGTGTGGGTGTTGAAAGTCATCTGCTTAATACACTTATGTAAAACCAAACTGTAATACACTTTCCTCTAGTATCTAGTAGAACCGTTATTAAAAGTGTGGATTTCCCCTCCTTTTTTTATTTGCGTACCACAGCTCTTTAAATATTTGCTTGGTGACTCAATGGTTTAAGTGAAAGGCTAAAGCTCTTGTTGGTTAAAGGACTGATGACTGCCTGGCTAGTAGGTTATAACACTGAATGGTTTGACATGTTAATTAATGTGCTAGTTAATGGTAGAAGCTAGTAGCTCACAGAGTAACTGCATGTTTATTTCTAGGATCTACTAGGTTGAGGGTCAATTTTAGCCCAAAAGTGTAGATGACACTTAATTTGAAAGGTAAGATCTTAAAATTTCAACAGCTTAGCATTTGGTTAAAACAAACCCAGCTCTAACCCTATGACAGGTGGATGTGAAGAGGTTAAATGGTGGCTTCTTGCAAATGTGAATACTTTTGCAAGAAGCCAAGAGTTACATAAGTCTAGTTTCTAACTGCTGCACTGAAAAGCATTTGGTTGACTACACTGTAAAAAAAATGTAATATAAAAGTATGTTACTGTATATTTTACAGTTTTGTACTGTTCTTCTAGAATATCATTAAATATACATAAATAGGTTGTGATTTTACATTTCAAATGTAAATCAACGTAAAATCACTGTAAATGTAATAAAACATAATTTTCTTGTTTTTTAAATGTATCTGTCTGTACATATGCATATATAGATTGTTAAAATACATTCACAAATGTATCATAATTTCACAAATATTTGTCCGTTATTTGAAAGATTGAACTGTTTAATTCAAATGTAATGCTATGGAAAAAATAAAATGATTCTTAACTTTTTTTACATCAAATAATAATAATTATTATTGTTATTTAGGGCAATTGTGGCTCAAGAGTTGGCAGTTCGCCTTGTAATCAGAAGATTGCCGGTTCGATCCCCGGCTCGGACACTCGTTGTGTCCTTGGGCAAGACACTTCACCTACCACCTACTGGTGATGGCCAGAGGGGAATTATAAAGTGGAATTGTAAAGCACTTTGAGGGTCTCAAAAAGCGCTATATGAATGCAATCCATTATTATTATTTAAACCAACTGTTAACTGTATACTTCTGTACATTTAAGTATTATTATTCATATTGCCGCATTCATTGACCTTGTTTATAGGTAATTTCATTGGTTGATCACATTAAAATGTACCTAATTTAATGTTTAAAAGCACTTGAAAAAGGCAAAATCCCATGTAAAATTAGGGCAACAAACTGTATTGTCATTACTGAAAATAACTGTATTTTCATGAGAAAGTTATTTTCTGTTATTTTCTGTTATTATTTTGGCGCCCCAGCTGCCAGAATATTACTGTTTTTTTTAGGATTTTTTTTTTTTTACGGTGTAGTTGATTCTAGAAACCTGGTTTAAAGACACAGTAATGTAGTTACAGTAAAAGGAAAAAAATGGTGAGAAATTCATCCACTGTACATGGAAGCTGTTTCACTGATCTTTACAAACCTGTGTTTACATTTAGGGCCAATTACTGAGTTATGTGCTTAACCTGTTAATATCCACCAGGTTGCTAGCAACCTGTTTTTGACTTAGAGTTTAGTGTAGGTTTAGCCACATGCTAAATTATGTGATTTTCAAAAATTAGTAAATGGTCTACTTCAAACTATTAAAATTTGTTTAAAGCATCTCCATTTGGATCATTTTTTGTTTGCTTAGTTGCATATTTCTGCCACTAACACCACCCAGAAAACCCTAAAGCAGGTGTAAGTGATTTGAGTTTTTGAACAAATATAAACAAATCACTTGTACTTGCACAAAAATTGTTCTAAAATATAGCCACCCAGCCCCCAACTTAACATATAGAGGGCTGAGGCTGGATGTAGACCATGTGGCTGTGCACATGGGTGTGCAAAAAGTCAGAGCAAACCAAAATAGCACAGTATCTAAATTTCTTGTCAAATGAAGTTGTAAGAATGTCGCATCATCCAACCCTTTGGAGATAAATTAATCCAACCGATTCCTTCTCATATGGCTGATCAGATATAAACAATATATACTCTAAGTATAATAACTATGATACAGTATTTATGTTCATATGTTGTATTTGATAGTACTAATGATATTACCCAAATCATCGAGCCACCATCTGGTGTCGTGCCTGCTACCACAAAAAGCTAAACATTATCCGAGAATTCCATTTATCTCCAGGACCAAAGGCGGTAAATCATTCATGCAGCTCAAAGCTTCTGTCTGGAAACTGCCCAAATCAGTGGTGGAGATTGCTGATGAGCTTGAGCTCTGGGGTCACATTCAGCCCAGAAGGTTAATTTACTGTTTATATCTTTGACTCTCTCACTAATAACTTTGACAGACCAAATATGACACTCTAAGATGTGCCAGATCTGAGCTCTGGTTTTTGATCTTGCACTTTTCCCTATTGTGTTAAATGAAATATTGAATGCAGTGAACAGGTGTTACCGAGGGTGCAGTGACAGATGGGAATTAGAGGTTCTACTTTCTGAAATTTTCTTTTCTTAAATATATATAGCAGTTGTTCTGTTACATGGTCCTAAAAGTTTGAAGACCACAGTAATACAAGGAAATCTGATCGCCTCAACTGAATGGCTTTAGTCCAACATGTTAGTATGTAGAGTAATAGTGGAGGAAAACATTTCAGTCTTGTTAACAAATAATTTTATAGATGCAGTCCTAACCTGTAACATTGCATCTGTCAAAACCTTTATGTCTAACTGTATGCAGGGATACAGTTTGAGATTTAAGATTAACCTCGTTTGCCATGTCCACCTAGGGTTACGGTTTGGGGTTTTTTTTAGCCACAAGCAAAAGGACACACTTTCAGAGAAGAATACACTTTGGCATTACAGTTTTTCAGTGAAAAGCTTTTCAACTGGGCCTTTCCAGACAAGAAAAAACTTTAACAAATTTGATCTCTAACCATAACTCCAGATGGGACCACCTGGTGGTTGCTAAGCAGTTACATTTAGTAATATTAGCTATTTCTTGACAATGAACATTGATAATGAGTGGCTCCATAATACAGTGGCTTATACATTTGCCTAGCAAGCCAGATATTCCTGGTTTGAGTCTGAGAGGAAACACGTCTCTCGGTTGTGTCAGGAAGGATATCTGGTGTACAGATCTGCGAAAGCAAGTGTGTGGCGCTACATGTTGTGACCCCTTGTGAATACGGGACTAGCTAAAAGTAGCTAATGAACAGTATTCATGACGTTTTGTGTGTCAGATGCTGGATGGTGTTTGACTTTAATTACAACACTAATCTGAGGCACTCCCCCTTGAGGATGTGAAAGTGGAGATAAGTGAGGGAGTTTTTCTTTAAAGACCTGACATCTTTAGGGTCACGGCTTCTTCCGTCTCAGATACTTTCCTTAAATAACTCCCTGACTCTAAAAGCAGATAAGGCTTACTCTAGCAACAGTTACGTCTACAGTTTGCAGGGACCTCAGGGCTTGTCAGGAACCTTTGCGACGTCAGTGTTGGGACAAAACGCCATATCCTGTGAACCTCTGAAGACCCATCTGGTCACCAGTAACCCATTTAGGGTTAGGAATGGGCTTGGTGTTAGCCTTAATGTCTAGCAAATATCTAATGAACAGTTTTTTTTAGTTTGTATCTTAATACTTTTCTTTTAAGGTACTATAAAAACACTACCACTACCCCTCCCATTATGTCTAACCCTGACACTTGATGCATTGACACTGACTTACCGGGTGTTAAGAAGTTAAATGATCTAGAAGGACATTTTCCAGAGAATAATAAATCATTTTAAATGCTGTGCACACAGCTTTGGCAAAACAGGGCAAAACAGTTTCCCTCCAACTCACCAGTTTACCAGCATGGCTGCATTGTTGCTTGACACAAAAGGGAGTTCCCCACAAACACTGTGAAATACAGATCCTTGGGAGAAAAGTAAAATCCACCAGAGGAGCATGGTCTTCCTCTTTCCTTTGCCCCCGGTCCTTTCAGGATCCATGCATCAAGTGCAAAGGTAACCCTTTGCAAGGGATGTGTCTGGATGATTCCAGCAGGTGTAGAAGTGGACTGGGTAGTTGTGAACCAGGTGGCCTGGAGTCATGAAGGCATCAGAAGGCCTGAGCGATTAGGTAGAAGAGAGAACTAAGCATGCTGGGGAACTCCAGATCGAGGCATGGCAGTGACAGTGACGTTGATAAGTGTGCGTAGTGGCCGTTCGTCCTCAACACAGGGCAGCTGCAAAATAGAGAAATTTCCCCCGGTTTTAAGCTGATGTCAGCTGATGAGTTCAGCGCGCTTTCTGAATTGCTTTTTCTGTCCTCCCCAAGCCAGTCAGTTCCATGAAGAGCGTTGGAGGTACCAGAAAAATAAAAAGAAAGAAAAACAACATAAAAAGAAAAAAAGAGGTATGGAGATATATCTACACGGCTATCCCCCCTCCATCCCACCAGTGATTAGAAGCAATGAGTGTCCGTCTCCGTGGCTTAGAGCGTGCGCTGAGGTGTGTGTCAACAGCTAGAGATCATCCTTCATGTGTGTTTGACTGTGTCTACGTGTGTTAGAGCCTGGATTGGCAGGGTGGAAAGGGGCGGGGTTTGGAGCTCAGCAATGGATCCCAAGACAGGAAGCCTCAGCACCCCCCTCAACCCCCCTCAACCCCCCCCCCCTGCTTTTTAACTCCCTCTCTTTGCACTCACTGATGGCAGGATGCAGATTGTAACCAGGGATTAGGGAGGTTCAAAAATCCGATTGTGCCTGGAGAAAGCCTCATGTATCATGTATTACTCTGTTTGTGTGTGTGTGTGTGTGTGTGTGTGTGTGTGTGTGTGCGTGCGTGCGTGCGTGCGTGCGTGCGTGCGTGCGTGCGTGCGTGCGTGTGTGTGTGTTTGTGAGGGAGAGAGAGAGCGGCTTGTGTACGTGTGCCCCAGTGTATGGAATACAGTCATTAGGTTTTTCATAGTTTACCAGCACCTGCAGTCACAAACTGCTGCTGGCAATGGAGATTTTTATTTAAAACCCTCAAATGCAATCTTCTGTTGTTTAGCAGAGTATTCTGTCCTCCCACTTCCCACCTCTCAACACACTTTTTACCTCCCACTGTCATGGCCCATTGTTGAACCCAGACATTAACTGCATAATAATCTATTCTCGTGTTCTCACAGTAATTAACACCACTTACGCTAATTTTTCCTTTTAATAACAGACCTGAAGTCAGGTTCATTTTGCTGTTATGTTTAACTGAAATGTTCTCTTTACACATTTTCACCAGTCTCCAACACCTCTGATTATTTCATTAGTCTAATGGTAGAATAGTGGAAAGAAGGGGAGCTTCTCAAATGACACTTTTCATTCCTTTTATCCAGTGACTAAGCACCATTGCAGCCAGTTTACTTGTTTTTTTGATCACACAGCTGGTAGTTTGTTCTAAAATAAAGACATGCCCAATGCGGTAGACTAAACATCTTTTGTTCAGTAAGGAGGTCAAGTCGCACATTAATAATTCCTCTATTCTCAAAGTGCATCTTTAAGTAGATATTTCTGTTATTAGGACGCTGTTGTTTGTTGTCCTTATCTAACCTTATATCCTTTTTATTTGCTTCTTTCCCCTCAGGACAGTATACAGTGATGATGGCCCATTTCTTCCTGAAGAGGAAGATTGGATATTTTGTCATCCAGACGTATATGCCATGTTTCATGACTGTAATCCTGTCCCAGGTGTCATTTTGGCTGAACAGAGAGTCAGTTCCTGCCAGAACTGTTTTTGGTGAGTGAAGCTGCTTACGTACTAATCCTTAAAAAAAAAAAGTAAAAAAACTTCTTATTTAACTGGGTAATATTTCCATCATGCGCATTCATACCAGGGAGAATAATAACAGTCGCTCACTGAGCAGCAGCACTGCACAAGCTGACAGTTAGGAGTTATTAAAGTGCCCACCTTCACTGAGTGAGGCCAGTCTGTCATTTGTTTCCAGCTGGCTCATAAAAACTAAATTTAAAATCGTCATGTCTAACTTTGTTTGCACCCAGGGGTGACCACTGTGCTGACCATGACCACCCTTAGCATCAGTGCGAGGAACTCGCTCCCCAAAGTGGCCTATGCTACAGCCATGGACTGGTTCATTGCCGTCTGCTATGCTTTTGTCTTTTCTGCCCTCATTGAGTTCGCAACAGTGAACTACTTCACCAAGAGGAGCTGGGCTTGGGATGGCAAGAAGGCTATGGAAGCACAACACCCTAAGGTACAATTTGTGGGTACTTTGATACACATTTAAGAGTTTATCCTCAGATCATCCAGAAATACCAAAATCGCAAACTTGGCTATGACCTGTGGTTATGAAATATTAGCAGTTGGTTGCAGGGCCTACAAGTGCGGCAGTGTATTTGAGACATCAGCTAAGTTATTACAAACCAGATTGCAAAAAAGTTGGGACACTAAACAAATTGTGAATAAAAATTGAATGCAATGATGTGGAGATGGCAAATGTCAATATTTTATTCAGAATAGAACGTAGATGACAGATCAAAAGTTTAATCCGAGAAAATGTATCATTTCAAAGGAAAAATATGTTGATTCAAAATTACATGGTGTCAACAAATCCCAAAAAAGTTGGGACATGTAGCAATAAGAGGCTGGAAAAAGTAAATTTGAGCATAACGAAGAGCTGGAAGACCAATTAACACTAATTAGGTTAATTGGCAACATGATTGGGTATAAAAAGAGCTTCTCAGAGTGGCAGTGTCTCTCAGAAGCCAAGATGGGTAGAGGATCACCAATTCCCACAATGTTGCGCAGAAAGATAGTGGAGCAATATCAGAAAGGTGTTACCCACCAAAAAATTGCAAAGACTTTGGAGTTATCATCATCAACTGTGCATAACATCATCCAAAGATTCAGAGAATCTGGAACAATCTCTGTGCGTAAGGGTCAAGGGCGTAAACCCATACTGGATGCCCGTGATCTCCGGGCCCTTAAACGACACTGCACCACAAACAGGAATGCTACTGTAAAGGAAATCACAGAATGGGCTCAGGAATACTTCCAGAAACCATTGTCAGTGAACACAATCCACCGTGCCATCCGCCATTTCCAGCTGAAACTCTACAGTGCAAAGAAGAAGCCATATCTAAGCAAGATCCACAAGCTCAGGCGTTTTCACTGGGCCAGGGATAATTTAAAATGGAGTGTGGCAAATGGAAGACTGTTCTGTTGTCAGACGAGTCACGATTCGAAGTTCTTTTTGGAAATGTGGGATGCCATGTCATCCGGACCAAAGAGGTCTAGGACAACCCAAGTTGTTATCAACGCTCAGTTCAGAAGCCTGCATCTCTGATGGTATGGGGTTGCATGAGTGCGTGTGGCATGGGCAGCTTGCATGTCTGGAAAGGCACCGTCAATGCAGAAAAATATATTCAAGTTCTAGAACAACATATGCTCCCATCCAGACGTCATCTCTTTCAGGGAGACCCTGCATTTTTCAACAAGATAATGCCAGACTACATTCTGCATCAATCACAACATCATGGCTGCGTAGGAGAAGGATCCGGGTACTGAAATGGCCAGTCTGCAGTCCAGATCTTTCACCTATAGAGAACATTTGGCGCATCATAAAGAGGAAGGTGCGACAAAGAAGGCCCTTTCTGAACATGGACGTTATTTGGAGTTGTGGTTGCTCGTTTTCCTTTTGTTTGCTTTGTTCATTTGTCTCTTTTAATTCTATTTTTTTTTTTTTTATACTTTTTCAACATGTTCAAAATAAAGATTCAATCAATCAATCAATCAACAGTTAGAGGCCTGTATTAGACAAGAATGGGAGAGCATTCCTATTTCTAAACATGAGAAACTGGTCTCCTCAGTCCCCAGACATCTGTTGAGTGTTGTAAGAAGAAGGGGAGATGCCACACAGTGGTGAAAATGGCCTTGTCCCAACTTTTTTGGGATTTGTTGACACCATGACATTTTGAATCAACATATTTTAACCTTAAAATGATAAATTTTCTCAGTTTCAACTTTTGTTCTGTGATTTATGTTCTATTCTGAATAAAATATTGACATTTGCCATCTCCACATCATTGCATTTAGTTTTTATTCACAATTTGTTTAGTGTCCCAACTTTTTTGGAATCCGGTTTGTATCATATTCCACAAGAAACAGAGGAAGTGTTGCAAATGATTGATTATGTGAAATAACAATATTGTTGTGTTATGTTTTGTTATCTGACTGGTGCAAATGGTTATCTAACCTTATTGTGGAAATGACAGTCTTCACTAGTGGGGATAGTTACAAAGCTTTCTTCATTATGAATGAGCACACATCTTTTTATTGAATATTTGAAGAACCAGCAAAAAAAACAGAAACTCTTGTAGAGGACATAAAGTCAGAGATAGAAACAACAAGGAGCAGGTGCATCTAGCACAGGTAGAGCTGCTGCAAAAACCCACAGAGCTCAGCAGCCAGCGCAACAAATTCTGGATCCTTGGCTTTTAGTTAGCAGTTAGCATTAGCAGCACATGCTGCGTCCGATGTGAAAGTACCTTTATGCTGCGCACTGTGACTCACAGCCATGATCCCGGGTCAGCCCCGACTTTGTGTTAAACGAATCCTAAAGTATTTCTAACCACTGATATACCAAAACTTTATCCTTTCAACAGCTACTGAAAGTTAGGGGACCTAGCTTCTATCGAATCGTACTTGTACTTAAAACTTGAGTGCAGAGTTTCACACGTATTTTTTGGCTAAGTCCACACACACACAAATTCTTTTTACACATACAAATCTGTTTCACACACACACACACACACACACACACACACACACACACACACACACACACACACACACACACACATTCTTTTTACACATACGAATCCTAATTTACAAGTACAAAACTGATTTACAAGTACAAAATATTTATGACCACAATTTGAGCCCACACAATTTCACTGACAAAAAAACTGAAGCACAGTTATTTATTTGATTATTTGTCAGATCATACCATAAAAAAAATCCAGAAGAAATTCAGTGACTCTACTCTAGGCCTCTAGGCTTATCTGAGAAACAGTACTACTTACTCTGTGGTACTATAGGGTTTTAAACAGTCTTAAGGTCATTACACACCGAACACACTGCAAAAACACCAAAGTGAAATTCCCAGTTCTTCGGATCCAAACTCGTTGTGTATTGTATAAACAGGCAGATCACATTTCACATGCACTGTGAAAAAAATTAAATCATTATAAAGCAATGATAAGCTGTTCCTGATGTTTCTGAACAAGAAAAGGAAGAAACTGAGATTCTGGGTTCCTCTAATTCTCATCAGGCAACACCAGGAAGAATTTCATGGTTTGATCCAGGAGTTGAAGCTGTATGACGACCACTTTCATACATATCTCGGGATGACAGCGGAGTAGTTTGAGCTGTTGTTGGCAGAGTTGAGACCACATCTGAGGAGGCAAAGAAATAATTACAGAGAGCTGATTGTATGTACCGTACTGGTGTGCCAAACATAATCTGATTGGTCAGATTTCTGCTTTTGGATCAGAAAAAGCAAGCTTGGTTCAAAAAAATAAATGCCGCAGTTTTGTCCAGCAAAATCACATCCGGTGTGTCAAGGCCTTCATGCCAAACTAATCATTTTCTGCCTTTAGCTACACAGTTAGCAAACAGATATTAGAGCAGTGTTACATTTACGTGGCACTGAAGCAAGTGAACTTCAGTATAAGTGTTGAAAAAAACAGTTAAGTACATAAATGCACTGTGAGTCATCAGGATATTGAAAGTCACTTCACAGCATGGATTACTATAAATTCTGCTTGGTTTAGTAATCCCAGTGATGTCTAGGACAACCGCCAGGCATCTGTTAACAGCTGCACTAAAACATATATGCACAGTGCAGTCATCATAAATAAAACTCAAACTGACAGAACACCAGTGGAAATCATGCTGCTAACTGATTGAAATTCAATAACTCAGCAGCCCACATTTTACCAGAATGTTCTGCCAGAAATATTTCACCTCAGTAAGGTCACTAATCACTCCAGACAGAACGAAAAACACAGATTCTTCTCAAGCCAGAAAAAAAAACTGTAACAGTAGAGCAAAATGAGGCTTGTAACTAACATTCTACTCAACGTGCTCTGTCCTGCCATAGAAACGAGACCCGATGGTTCTGTCCAAGAAGCCCAACAACGTGTGCTCGGCAGGTGTCAACTACACCCCCAACCTCACCAAGGACACGTCCATCTCCACCATCTCCAACACGACGTCGGTACACCTGCGTTCTGCTGAGACCAAGACGATGGACCCCAAGAAGACCTACAACAGTGTCAGCAAGATCGACAAGATGTCGCGGATAGTGTTCCCTGTCCTCTTCGGAACCTTCAACCTCGTCTACTGGGCTACGTACCTCAACAGAGAACCGTTGTCGAAAGGAGTTGTCATCTCAACGTAATCGCTCTTCTTATTGTTCCTTTTTTTCAGGGGCGTGGGGGGGAGGGGGGGGGCAGTTTGTGTCAGGGAGAAGGGAAGGTTGAGCCTAATAGAAGAGGGGTGATCCATAATGAAAGCAGCCATTGCTACATCTCTCCCTCCAGACTAAACAAATGTGAAAACAAAGAACAAAAACTATACTCACCTATTTAGATCAAGCACTTTGAATGGATGCAAGGCTTCACGATTCCCTTTCCTATTTTTCATGGCCTAAAAAACTGCATTTTAAGACTGCATTAACAGGAGAGAGGGTGCTTTGCTTCTTTCTCATCTGTTCTGCTGCAGTTTGCATGATTCTCACCCCCAAAAAGGGAACATGGACTCCTCTTTGTCTTGAACACCGACCATGTATATGTCAGTCATTGCTTAAACTATGGGAGCACACTTGGTCACTACTACCTGTAGAATTTAACAAAGTAATTTAATGCTTCATGTTCTTACTGCACTGGGCTCATAAACTCTGCAATCTAACTCGCATTTGAATTTTAAAACATGATTTTAAAATGTACCTAATTCCGCGCTATGAGAAAGACGCATCTCTCGAGATTGATGCTGCAAGTGCATTAATAATGTCGTTTTATGTCTCCTTTTTAAAAAAAAAAAAATATATCTTGCCAATTCTTTTCCTCTGCCTAACGCAGAGGGTGCTTGTGTCTCTTGTTGTACATCTTTACTTGAAGATTCAAGAACTGTTGCTGCAGGCCTGGTTTCCCAAAAGCACTGGCAGTAAGAGTCTCAAAGTAAAATGTGAGAGGAAAAGAAGTTTTGAATTAAAAAGTCATCATTTAGGGCCAGCAAGAATGTTTGAAAAAAGTGGGGTTTTTTTCTGGCCTACTTACACGAGGGTGACTGGACGGCTGTGGCAGATGTGTTAGCACAAATTAAGGATTGGATATATGTGATTTAACAGAATTTTGAGCCTGGGTCACTCAGTTGGGAAACCAATATGCACAGTTGAGATACCAAATGGAGAGCAAGTCACATACAAATCAGGACAGCGATGTGGACAGTTTTGGGACTGTCGTTCAGAGATGTCCAGACACGCACCCTGCTAATGTGTCCACAGAGAAAACCAGACTCATGTACAGTTCATAACCCTGTTTTGGTTTTTTAAAAAACTGCTGGTGAAATTTACTAAATGAGTACTGTGACAATTTTGTAAGGCACTGACACAGCTGCTATGTAAGTGTTCCATTTCCAAATGTGGGGAGGAAAGTATGTAACGTAATCATATGAATGTGGTTTTCTAAGGCTTGCGACAGGTAATTTGCTCCACACTGTGCCGTCATTTAACACCGAAAAGAGCATGCCTTATATTGCACCTGGATGCGATAGTTGTCGCAAGGAGCATTAATTTATGTGGAATGCCAAGGGGAGACGTTATCAGAATGAGCATGTAATTGGTTCGGGTATATGGCTGTGACAAATCTTTGGATCTGCCCTGTCAGCTGCTCACGCTGAACAGTTTGAGCCAAGCCCCACATATTTAGTGTATTTTGATATAACAAAGCAGAACATGCCGCAGAGCATCGGGGGCAAGGAGAGAATTACAAGATGTATACAAGCCATGGCTGTATAGCTGGTAGCAAGGTTAGTTTTTTTGCAGTGTGCAGAGCTGTTTGTAGGTTTTTTCATCGTGTTTCATCAAATAGGCAGCGGGTCATAGTGAAAATAGCAGAGAGCTCAAAAAATAAACAAACTCAAAAAATACACATTGAGCTCTGTAACATCACAAATCGACTTCATACATTTTGTCTACTTTTTAAGTTCTGTCCCAAAAGTATTTTAAGAAAAACTGTAATGTTTGTCAAAATGTCACTTTAACTGTGACGAAGGTGTTGGAGGTGTTCCTAAATATCAGGATTGTGCAGGTGGCTGTGAGTCAGATTCTTTCTTTTGACTTTAATAAATACCTGCAGACCCTTATGCAAAACAACACATTGCACGGTCACAGTACCGTCCTGGGTTTGCAAGTCGGTTGGGATTTGACAGTTAATAATGTTTTGTGTTGTGCGACACATCCTGCACATGGGCTGTTAAACAAATATTTTAGGTTTATAAGGCAGAGCTGGTTGTAGTAAAGTAATAAAGCAGTCTTGGGCTGCGTCAGCCTTTAAGACGACAGTTTCTGATGCAAGACTAATCATTGACCTTTTTAGTAGATTACCTGCAGAACCTTCCACTCCCACTGAGCTATTCTTTTTCACATACAAAAAGTGAATCAATAATTTTCTCACTCATGCCTCTTAATAGCAACACTTGAGAGCTCAGTTCATGCTTTGCACAAAGTCAAAGTATTCTGGGTCATTTAAGCATCTTCTGAGGCTGTTGGAAAATGTTAACTCCAGTCTACAGTGTGTTTGTGAAAGTGAAGTGCTGGGGGGAAAAAAGATGATTATTGTGTCATGTTTCTGGATTCCAGCAGAGCTATACTAGAAAGAAAACCTCACGCATATATCAGCAACAGGAGACAGAAATTCAACAGCTCAGCAGCTAACAGGTGACCAAAGATTGATTGTACCATGAACTGACTCATAACGGTCCACAAAAGTGAGCAACACAGCAGAGCTCTGTCCTCTCAGAATTACTTACTATTGGGTTCAATCGATGGGCTCAAGTTTATCAAAATTGCACCCTGATTTGCATTAATTTACTTCACCTCCGCGAGCTAATCCAATGTCACTGGACTGCATTGGTTTTTTTTCTCAGAATGTTTCTCTGTTTTGAAAGCTTGGTTCGACGAGGCCTTTAAGCTGCAAAGAATTTGGGGAAATAAGGCCGAGTGTCATGAGAGAATCATGTAAATAGCCTTTTTCGTTTTCAACGTAAACAAAAAGACAGATTGTCACATTTGTGTTCTGAAGCCCTTAGTAGAAAAAAAAAGCCCAATGTTGATGTTAATGATGTTATTGTCTTCAATATCTTTTTTCTTCTGTGTACATGTGTGAGTTTGTTTCGTTCTTGTGGCTTGTAGAAGAGCTGATCAAACGTGATCTTTGGACTGATTTGTATTTTATATCTACAGTGACTTAATTAAAGTGACGAGCACACATTTTGTCATTACAGCTCAAGCCTACCTGTTGCACAGCATGTGTTGGTTTGTGGTGAGACAAACTCAGGAATAAGAGGACCCCATGCTCCCAACAGAAATATCAGTTCTTCATATCTATCATATGGATTTTGAACACCAACCTCTCTCACCTGCTGCTGGGAACATTGTCCTCAAAAACTTTAGGCCGCTAAGCAGATATTTATACACTGGCTTGGTAAGAAACCATGTAAATAAGGGTGACATAAGCTGCTATCTGCTTTGCATTGTGTACTTAAGGTGGACTTAAGTGATTTTATTTTGACTTTGTGTGCCAGGATATGCTGTGGTATTTTCGTGCTGTTTAACTGATGTTGAAGCTGTCATTTATGGAAATCTAAGATCCAGCTTTCTGTCAGATCAGACAATGTTTCAGTTTCAGTGCAATGGCAGCCAAGTACAGGATACAGACGAGACATCTCCCCCCCACCAATCTGTAATCTGTCTGTTCCTCGACTTCCTGTTTGTATCTGACACATTATCAAGTAACAGTACACACTTTCTGTCTGTGTATTTCTGATTAGGTCTGCAGTAGTTGAGTTCTTCAACAAGTGTGTTTTTTAAACTAAACAGTTGTTTTTATTGAGCTTTATTTAAGCCTTGTTTTCTAACATATAACCAAAGGAACTATTACTGTAAAAAGTCACTGATAATGTCCCTGACAAACACATATAGCCTTCATTATTTTTTCTGTGGACAGCAGCTTCAGTCTGACAGAAGTTCACTGTATGGACAAAGGTACTGGGTCTCACCTGTTATTCTTTGAATGCTTGTATTTTCAGTCCCATTGCTTCAGCTGTGTAAAATCTAAAGAATCTAGGCCTGTACTCTTTTGTGCTTTTATTTGGGAAAGAATGGGTCTTTCTAAAGAGATCACTAATTTAAGAGTGCTACTGTAATAGAATGAGACATTGCAGCAAGTCCCTTCATCTAATTTTTTGTACCTTTCAGAAATTCCTCAGTAAGCTGTAAGTGGCATTTTTGCAAAAGTGGAAGTTTTTAGGGACCACAGCAACTGAGACACCAACTGGCAGGCCACGTAAAGTTAGAGAGTGAGGTTGCCAAGAGCTGGGGCATATAGTGCATAAGTGTAATCAACACTCTGCTGAAGTGCAGAGTTCCGAACCTTCTCCAACATTACCATCAGCACAAAAAACTGTATAGCAGGAGCTTCGTGCAATAGGTTTCCATGCAGCGCAGCTCCTGTAGGTAGCCCAGTACGTTTGTGCAAATAGTGTATCTCTACAACTATTAGCTTGTCCATAAATTTGGCTAATATGGTAATATTCATGGAAAATTTACAATAACTTTGGTGATCCTCTGACTTTTTCTAGTGCTGTCATCAGATCAAAATTACTGTGGCTGGTGGGTAATATATGGAAAAAATAAAAATAATCCTCCAGTCTATAAACTAAAAATAACATGAAAGTTCAAAAATTTTCAAAAAGAAATTATTTTGACTGTTAACAGGCTAAACAAATACAGCTTACATGATGTTATACCAGATTATAAATATCTGTACCCGCTGCTAAATGCCAGCATATTGGCATCATCGTTGTTAGCATGTGGATATTAGCATTTAGCTGCATGTAGAATAATAGTAGGCAGACAGATGGATGAACACTTAAATTCAATACATTATAAATCCTCTGATGTTCTCAGTAATTTAATAAATATTTCTGACTGATAACAAGCTAAAATAACATATATGTAAAGTGGCCTTTGTTATACTCAGCATTTATGTGTTATGTTTGATAATATTTGTCATCTTTTTATCAATTTCTACTATTAGTAGCATGCTGGCATTAGCATTTTACTGCATGTAAAACAGTGATAGGCAAATAGCAAACAGTGACCTTCTAAAAAATTAATGAATTGAAGAATGAATTAATAAATCTATGTATAAGCATATTATACCATATTATTAATCATCTGAATAAAACAATGCTAATATCATAATAGGTTTTTAATGCTAGCCAGCTAAATTAATACAACTAACATGATTTATCTGCCTATTAATATTACACTTATTAGCATCAACCTTTTAGCTCTGTCGGTGTTAGCATACTGTACTTGATAGCTACATATTAGCTACATATAGAACGTTGACAATATTTGGCAAACAGACAAATATAGGATTTTATTTTTTCTGCTGTAGAAAACTCAATCATATTAACTATAGGACATCATATATTTAATACTACCTACATTGTAATTCTGTCATTTCCAAAAATTCGGCAAAGCTAATATTATGTTAATATGCTAGGGGCTGAAAGAAGACAAGTAACTCACGTATATCAGCTCATTCACGTGAGCTGTCAGGTCAGAGGATCCCCATAGTGCTGAAACCTGGTAGACTTCCTCATGTCTGTGCACATCTTTCTTGGCGTAAACCAATGCACCCATCCATTTAACTATCTCTCTTTCTGGCCAAGAAACAACCCCACCCGCCTTCCTTCAGCCACTGTGACAGACTCATCTGCCATACATCTGTTAGAATAAGGGATTTAGTTCTGCTTAAGTTGCTTTCACCCATTCAGGGAAGCCCCTTACAGCAAAGGGCTTCTGTCCAATTTAAGCCCTGACTGGCCCAGCCCTCATGACAAACACTTGTTTTTCTCAGTGTGTTGTCTGGACAGCTGTGGCTGATGCATGTTAGGAACAAACTTAGGGTTGATTATATGCCCTTTATCCCAAGCTAGCTCATGGGCAGTGAAGCTGACTGACGCTTTGAACTCTTGGCTGGGGAATTTATTGCACATCCAGCAGCTGGTTTAAAGGACACTTGCGGAGCTACGATAGCAACAGTTGCCTGTTCAAGTAAGGCTAAAGGTGACCAATAAAATGCATAAAGTTGCTCATGTTTTTTTTTTTCAAGAACTTTTTACAAGAATATTTACGAAGAACCCATCAAACAGACTTTTGCTTAATTTTGCAAAAATGCAGCAAAGCCATTGTAGCTGGGCTTAAAAACGTATTTGTGTCACTCATTCTTTGTTTTATGTACTGTATTTGTTTTGTGTATTATACTGATAATGATCAAATAAAAAGGATTAGCAAAGATGCTATATAGTACATTGCAAACACTACTGTAGCTCAAATGTTGCTTTGTTGAATCCTGATTAAAGCTGCACATATAAAAGGAAATCTGACACTGGTATGTCTGAATCATGTTTGATTGTCTATTGATATTAAATGCTTTGATGAACTACTTAATGCAATTTGGGTCACTTAGAAACATTATTTTTACAAGTAATGCAAATTTGCTTTAATTTGATATAATGTGAAATTCATCAGAAAACTTTTTCTTTTCCATTTTTTTTTAGTTTGATCTGCCTAGTATCTAAGAGGGCATACAGAGGCCCATTGTCACTGTGTTTCAGTGGCATATGATATGCTGTGGTATTGTTTTCATAATGATATGGTAGATGATGACATGTGTTTATATTTTCCCAGTTAATGAAGCTGTCAGAGGTTTTAGTTTGACAAATAAACTCTTTATAGCTTAATTAAATGGGACCTGCTAAGCAAAAGTCAGCTTGTACTGCTCTATTAGCGGAGCAGTACACACCTTTATGTTAACCCCTCAGCTTTTCAGTTTCATGCACTGAATAACCTTCATTTATTAGGGCGCACGTCATTGTTTTCCCATACAGCCTTACACACAGTAAGCCAAATGGATTGCTGTGTGTAATGATGACATATTTCATCTGAGATAAAATCTTTGGGAAATGGTTTTCCTAATGATCAGTCGGTCTTTTGCAACAGACAGTTATCAGCCTAGGCAATAGCTTTTATCACTTGTTATCAGTCCTGCACATATCAACAACAGGTGGTGTCATCCACCTACAAGGTGGAGACTGTTTTGCCCGTCTAAATTTAAGTAATAACGAGGAACTGTCAAGCAAATTTGCCTTTTGGACAAAACTTACATCATTTAAAAAAACAACCTTTTTATGTTTACACCAGAAAAAAGATTGTGCTCTGTATAAACTGATCAAGTACATTTCATTTGACCAGATTCCACTGAATTTTATATTCTTCTGATATTTCAAAATTACATCGAAAATATACATGTACATGTAGTTAAATAAGTCAGCATATTGGGCATAAAATATTTTGAGTGTTGGAACTAAAAGTCCTTTTGGTATGTGTACAAACAAAAAGGTCCTGGTTTGGGATAAAATGCACACTTTTCAAATATACACACATTGCAAAGTTACATTTGAAAGCATGCCTTGCAATATTAGCAAACACATTACATGACCTTTGTCACACATAGATGTCGACAAATCTGCTCATCACTGATTATAATGGATAACTGTTTTGTGAGCCTGCTAGAACGTAGAGGAGTGAGCCTACTGACAAAATGCACTCACCACACACTTTACTACTTAAGGAATGATTCAGTTCCTTATAAATGGTCATTTACACTGAATCAATTTAATATTTGATGAACAAAACCTAGGACTTTCACTGTACACATCATACTTTTATCCACAAAGATAATCACAAGCTGCTAATTCTTCTGAATATCTAAACGATTGCAAAGCTATGACAAGAACATCATGTAATTTCATCACTCATAAAAGGAGAAACCATGTCAGTCCATTCACTTTTCAAATTAAGATTGGGCAAACAGTGTTATCACACAAAGTAACAAAGAGGACAGAACTTGCACATTTATTTTTTTTATTCTTAAAGTGTGTTTTGCTGACAACACTGTTACTTCTGTGAGTTGGTAAAATAACTATGGCAACACGATTTTCAATTAATTATGTCATCATTATCAATCAATTATTCCTGCAGGTCTCCTAATACTGTCACTAGTGTGGATAGGCAAAAATAACTACATGTACATGCTTCTTAATTCATTTCATGAGAATTATTAATGAATCACTCCTGCTGGTCCACGCTTGGTCAGCAGGTTATTTCTTTTCGGCTGCAACACTGCGGGAAAGACTTTCTCTTTCTCGCCGCCAGGGGGCAGCGAAGCCTCTCGAGTGGCACTCACTAGTTCAGAAAGGAAAAAAGTCTGGCAGGTTTGTAAGCTGAACGCAGGGCTGCCCTGCTGAGCTGTGGGCCTATTCAGAAAAAAATACTGTGAGGAGGAGAGCTCGCGGTGACTCTGTGGCACGTAAACGGACGTGTAAAGTCTGAACATGACTTCCAAGGGCGATCATCATCATCAGGCAAACTGCAGATATCAGTTCGCACTGAGTCAAACTACATATTATGCTGTTTACTTATGAATTGATGCTTATTTCTGAGACTTTTTCTTTGAATGAAAGGAAGTAACTGAGTTTTGAGAAGTTCCGCTTCTTCTTTTAAGACTAATGAACTAAAACAAGATAATATTGATAATAATGATAATAAAAACATCTGATGGTAATAATGATAATAATAATCACCATCATCATCATCATCATGCCAGAGTCAGAGCAACAAAAGAGGGGGGTGTTTCCGTGTGCAGTTGTGATCCAGGTAGTGTATGAGTCACGCAAGATGCTCATCTCCTAAGGTTCACCACCTCCACCAGCAGCAGAAAGCGCCCCCCTGCCACTCTGGTGCCCACACAGGGAGAAGGTGGAGGGAGGCACCGTCGCTGGATCCCGTCAACTAGACTCCCAGCACCCCCCCCCCCCCACACACACACACACACCCCATCCGCCCCTTACCCCCGCCTCCCTTCCCCTCCCACACACACACGCACACACCATCCTCCTCTTGTTTCGGCTACCACCGCTTGTGTTGGGCTGGATCTCACTGATTTATCGTCGGGTGCCTTTCCCGGAGGAAACCCTCCCCACGAAGGAGCGAAGAGGACCAGGAGGAAGTGTGGTGGAGGGAGGTCGGGGGCGGGAGAGAGCTCGCGATCCGCTGCTGTGGTAGTGCTGGTGCTGTTGTTGTTGGTGGTGGTGTTGGAGGTGGTGGCTGTTCGGTGCACATGACGCGCAGGAGAAAAAAGTGCGTGGGCGGATGAGGAAGTTGAGAGCTGGGATTGATGGTTCCACACCTTTTCACTGCGCTGGCACTTGATCGCGGCAGCAACGCAGCAGCAGCAGCGGCAGCAGCAGCAGCAGTCCACCGGTTCCTGCGATCAGAGGTGATCCGCGCGTGGGAAAATGACAATCAAGTTTGTGGTCACCCTCCTCACACTTTTGTTCGCTGGAGGTGCTCGGTGAGTGTCATTTGCACCTTTTCTCTCTCTCTCTCCCTCTCTACGATCAACAGCTGAGAGCAGCGTTAAAGCTTCAAAAGTTCGACTGCTGTGAATGAAATCCCATACATGTGTGAAAGAGCCTGTGTGGTAATGCATGGTTCTTTTTTCTTTTCTTTTTTTCCTAAGGGGTTCCCTCACACACACGCACTCCAACAGAAAGAAAAGGGGGGGGGGGGGGGGGGGGGGGGGGATAAATGACAGCACCATTTACTGCTGCGCCCAAATCCACAGTCTGGGGGTCTCACTGTCATTTACAGCAGGCTCCAAGTCACCATGAATCAAACATGTTCTTTTTTTTCCTCTTTTTTCTCTGCGTCAAAGTTTTCATGACAATGTGTTTCTGTTTTAAACATGATTAAGACCTCTCGTTCCCCTCCTCTCCTTTTCTCCTCGCCCCCTCCTCCACCCCTTCTCTTTCTCACACACACAAACAGCTCTGATTTACGGGAATATGGCGACGACGATGAGGATCATCAGGACACCACTGTCAATCAAATGCTGGTGCCCAGGTCGCACCAGGAGGACGCAACGCTCATTCTGAACAATTTGCTCAAGGAGTACGACAAGACTCTACGCCCAGACATCGGAGGTAAGGATCAGAAGTGGTGGAGAGGAGTTGGAGGCTTTTTTGGTTGGAGGAGAAACTTTGGTGATGCTGTCCAGGGAATGGCTCTGTGCCTGAGCTGTCCATGGTGCTGAAACTAGTAGTGCTGCTGTGAGGGTGGGGAGATGACATCCCCTTCCCCTCTCTCTCAATCATTTTAAAATTAGGTTTCTTCAGTTACGCTGGGACAGATTTGGTGGATTTGGGTTTGCTGAGATCTCTGCAAGAATTAGGGATAAAGTCCTTTTTAAGTGTTGAGAACTTTATTTATCTAGTGGGAGATAAAAACTACAGGGGCATCTGAATTTTTCAGTATTTACATCATTTACATGACTAATGGTTATTTGTGTTTCTATCAATAAATTAACAGTAAATGGAGAGGAAATAAAATGTGTCCACTTCTTGGGTTTCTGGCAAATTATCTGCAAAGCTAATTCACTTAAATGCAGTTTAATTCAAAATGCAAATAGGACCATGTTCTTATGTTGGCTCTACATAAGCCAAATTTACAAAGACGTACAGTGCTGTGCAAAATTATTAAGCCACCCGTCATTTCTCTATATTTTGTTAAGAGCATGGGAAATAGCTGCAGAGAAATGTGGGCAAACATGCATGGAAACACAACATAAAAGGCAAAAAGAGTTTGTTTAAACAATAATGGCAGTCAAACTAAATATTGACTTTTAATCTTGTTAGAATCATACAGGCTGAACTCTCTTCAGGAGTAGTTCTCCAGGCTTCTCGAAGGACATTCAAAGCTCTTCTTTGGATGTTTTGCCTTTTGTTTCCCTCTCTATCAGTACTGTTGAGGCCTGGGCTTTGGGGAGGCCAATCCATGATCACTATTGTTCCATTGTGTTTCTACTATTCAGGTATGCTTTTATTGCATTGTCAGTGTGTTTGGGATCATTGTCATGGTGAAATATTTCCACCCAGATACTTTCCAGATCATATTTCTTGGTATATCAAAATCTTACAGTGCTTTTCATGTTTGTAATTCCATCAGTTTTGACAAGGCAACATCACTGGCTCTCAAGTCCTGTGTCAGATCTTTGCTGAATGTTTTTCTAGCTTTTTTTAAGAATGTGACTTTCAGCTACTGTTCAAATGTATGCTGTAGATAGGTTTTTAAGCCTACTTGTCCAGCTTCCTCATTTTTTTAAGGAAACATTGTACACCAAGCCCAGATATGCCAGTTTTTCAGTTAAGTGTCTTTTTGGAGGGTTTGGGGTTTTTTTTTGTTTGTAGATGCGAGTAAAGCAATGGAAACAAATAGTGTGTTTTTGCGACAGGCTGCAAGTAAGAAATTGGTCCTTTGCTAAATTGTCTGCTATGTGTAGACATAACACTGGCTCATCCGTTGATCTTTTGAGTTTGGTGCCTTTTTTATGCTTAACAAACAAAAAAAATCTTGCTTAACACCAGCATGTTGGCATTAGCATTGTTAGCATAGTAGCAGTGACAGTAGCATTTAGCAAAACGTAGCACACCGGTTGGCTTTAACCACTTCAGTTTGAATCAAAAGGTCATTAAATAAATCAAAAAACTAAGAATGTAAATACGAGCACACCGTGCTAGCTTATCTGGCTGTCACTCCCAAACCACAAAGACATTTATCGCTTTCACACATGTAATAGAATGAGTTACCCACAGCTGGCAGGCCATGCCCAGTTTGTGCTGTGTGTGTGTGAGAGAGCGAGGGTGATGACAGGAACACGAGTCCAAATCCTCCCTTGATTGCACCCATGTTCTCGCTGCTGTGGTGCAATCAAAGCCCTGAGCTCCTTGGAGGAGAACATTCCTCTTCAGTGAGGTCTCTAATCAAATGGTTACCGGTTTGTTCCCCGGAGTCCTCTCATTGGTGGGCTGCTGGCTGGAAGGCTTTTCTGTGATGAACGTGCAATCCCGGCTTCTGTTGCTGCAGCATTTTAGAAGTCATTTGGAGAAATCAAGGCAGCCTGTCTTTATGGACATGTGGTAGAGGAGTCAGAGGTGTGGTGGTTTCCAGTGAGGCGATTTTCACCGGGGTTTAGCACAGTGGCTCAATGTCATTAGACTGACTGCCTTTACTATATTAGCGGCACTATTCTGAATGTGAAGGCAGACATTACTCCAACTGTTTCTGCTGTGACCTTATTTTTATTTCTCTCATATTCCAATTTACGCTCGACATTTGGTAACATTCTCCTTGTGTTTCTTTTCCCTTGATTCAGAGTTTGCATTTACAATCAGCAATACAATCTGATATGTGTAGGCCATTTGGGAGCTGCTCTACTCTAATTTTGTTTTGCTTCCCGCAGCTCACTGTGATATTTTCCACTTCCACTTCACTTAAATGTTGAAATAAAATGCAAGCATTTTTGACAAGCTTCCTATACAGAGGTAATTTTTGTCTGAAATATTCTGTATTTTTCTATTAGTTCAGCCTACATTAGGATGAAAGACATTTTGTACCAACAGCCATTCAAAAAGTTTTCAGAAGCTGCATACAAAGTCCTGCTTAAGCAGAACTCAAGGACATATCCACAGTCAACACGGGAGGGGGGGTGTGCAAATGCAGGTCTCGCTGGGATGAGACCTAAGAATGGATTACTTATTGAAATGGTAGTGATTTCAAAGTGAACAAATAGTCAGTGTGTCTCTGTTGAGCTACATTTATTGGTACACTTGTGCTGTACGACAACTGAAGTCCAACTTGTGAAGTATCCGGAAAGATGTTTGCACCATTTGACTGCAACTCGACAGCTACTGGCAGTTATTTTTGCATAAATTTCATGCGTAAACTGTGCAATAAAATATAGATCTAGCCATGCAATAAAAAACCAAAGACAATGTTAAAATCAAATAAACCCTGCTTTATGTCCAATGTCCAGCAGAGGGCGACTCCTTAGACTTCTATACAATTTGAATTATTTTGCAGCCAAAGAGAAAGTTTTGCTTCATTTATGACTTCAGTGAACACATTACTGTTGGGTTTGTGGTCTTAACTAATATTTTCAACACTGATTAAGTAAATCACAGAAACACTGTAAATAAAAAGGAGAGTAATGCAGGGTACACTTTGGAGCAATAATTCCCAAATTCCCAAAAACCAGAAAACCCCAGGGAGCCAACCCCTAAATCTTCACTCTAATCAAAATGTAAGAGACAGTGATGCATTTCCATGAAAATCTGCAATTTTTTGTTATCACAGAAGCACCTTTCAAAAGATGAACCAGATTATATGAATTTCATATATTCGGCTTCCTTCACCTTTTTGCCGTATTCCAGTTCCTCTAAACTTTGTCTTTCTGCCATTTTTTCCCTGCTCAAAAAACTCTTAATCCTCTAAATGTCATCTTCCCCACTCTGAACACTTTATCACCTTAGGAGCTCTTTTAAGGGCTAAGATACTTGGTGAATCACTTACCTATGCCAGGATTTGGTCCTGACTTTAAGAGTGAATTCTTAGTAAACATCATAATTCTGAGAATTTTTTTTAAAACTTCATCTTATTAAGCCTCAGTCAGATGCTACACTCTTCACCCTCAGGTTTATACTAAAAAGCCTTGCTCATGAATTTTCAGGCTCTGGTGGGAAACACTGTATCTTCCAATCATTAATAATGTTTATTTGTCTTTCTCGGAATGCTTGAAATGATTCCCAGATATCATCAACAATTATTTTCCTCCCTCTCTCGCACGTTCACCAGCAGCTTGCTCGGATCGGTTCAGCCTGGTAGTTCACCTTGCGGGAAGAGGGGGTGGGCATGTGGGGGATCACCCTACGGCTCTGCTTCCATAATTAGGGATGAAATTTTGATGAGATCCAGTTGACAAACCTCAGTGTCGTCCATGAAATGTTAATTTCTTAGCAGGATTATGTGAAGCAGTGGAAGCACGTGTGCATGTGTGTGTTTGTGTGTGCGTGTGTGTGTGTGTGCATGGGAAAACGTGCACAGACAACACACTTACAAACATACTTGGAGATGACGCTGAGTCAAAGACAGATCTGGGACATTTAAGTCATTGTAAAAGAGAGTGGGTTCTGTTGAGATCCGCTGCAATGAATCTCTGAGAAAACACACACACACACAGCAAAGAAAGTAAATTCACACGGATAGAAGCCACTGAAGTCAGCACTGTGAGGCTCATTTCTAAGACACACCTTGATTTTGACTAAATCAAAGTCATCCACACACACACACACACACACACACACACACACACACACACACATATAAAAACACTGTATTTCTGTTTGCCTCTTCTCGTCTGTAGTTGTGCTTGTTTATAAGCCGCTGGCTGTGGAACCAGAGCACATACTGTTGTTTTAAGAAAATGTGAAATTTTACTATTAATTGGCTGCTAATTTCTAAGTTGAACATTTGTGTCTCAAAGCAAGGTTCACTTCTTCAGCACAGAAAATCTGCATAATACTAAATTCTTCGACAGTGAAGACAACAATTTTCCTCGCCTGAAAGAAAATCTGCTACTATTAGCTAACTAACATTGGCATTATCAGCACTGACAGAGAGAAGTGCAAAGAAATTCACCACCTGGTTACTTTGTACAGCAGTATGCCAATTGAAGCACAGCACAAAGTTATTAATAACGTTATTCTGTTTATTTTTTTCATTGACAGAAAACAGCTTTTTAAATTGATACACTATGGGTACAGTAAAGACCATACAAAGGCACGTAGAACAATATTTTATTATTATATGGTATGACAAAAAATAGTCAAATACAATGAAACATAAAAATGTAACAATACCTTTGCCCTAATTAGATCTTAAGTTTTATTATGTTGAATTAAATAAATACAAATAGCCTCAAAATTCACATCAGAAAGGAGTTTGTGTGTGTGTGTGTTTGTATGTCTGTGTGTAGTTGAGTGTGTATTTATATCTTTGTGGGGACCAGACATTTAAAATTTACTATACATAAGGACCAACAGCCCTTATGGGGACCAAAATCCTGGTCCCCACAAGTTTGAAGGCAATT